TCAGCCCCGCTGGCCCCACCTGCTGCCCATGCTGGTGCTGTTTAGAGGTCAGCAGACACTATTCTGTCAGAAGGAAAAAATGGCCTTTATTGTGTCTATTTTTCTGTTTCTCCCCTGATATGAAGGAGCTGGAGTTTTTTGTTGTTATTTATGTTTGTTTTCGTAACAACCCCAGGAAAGCTCAACAAGTAAAACAGTAGCTCATCCCCAAATGCACATGAACAGATCAAAAGTCTTGCAGGCCGGGCCAGCCCGGTGGCGCACTGCTACAGTGCGCGGCTTGGGAGTGCGGCGGAGCTCCCGCCGAGGGTTCGGATCCCACATACAGACCGGCCGCTCACTGGCTGAGCGAGGTGTGGGCGCAACACCGAGGGTTGCGATCCCGTTGCCGGTCCCAGTCCGGTACGGGCGCGACACTGAGTGTTGCGATCTGTTGCCGGTCATGAAAAAAGACAAAAAAAAGGGAAAAAAAAAAAAAAAAAGTCTTGTGGGCCACAGTCTTGGAGGTCATGACCTTGCTGCATCATTTCCACACCTGTGAATACAATGTGTGCGTGCTGCAGCTCTCCCTTCCTGAGCCCTGTTCAGGCATTGTTCATTAATGGTGGCATGCTGGCACTGAGCTTAGAGACATACTTTATAATGTGGCGATGAACCATGTTTATTATTCCTGGTCTGGGGTAGATCCCAAAGTCAGCATTGTGACACATTCCCGAGCTGGCTGGTTGTCATGTGTTAAATGTGGTGCTAGGAGGAGATGATGAGCCTCTGATGGAAAACATTGGGTTTTTACTGACACCTTAAGTATGATAGTGTTTTATGGCCCCAAACTGTATTTTCAACGGGTCCTTTCTGTAAAGAAAATGCATTATAAATTTAGACTCTGGTAATTTAGAAAACCGATGCCCCAGAGTTGTTTTGGCCAATGTAGAAATTTGGTTTAGTGTAAGGTGAGGAAGACAGTCTAATATTCAGTCTTATAGAAGTAGGCTATTTCCTGAAATAGTGAACTTTCCTGTCATTAGAGAAGACGAGAGAAATATTGTTGGGCCGGCCCGTGGCTCACTCGGGACAGTGCGGTGCTGATAACACCAAGGCCACAGGTTTGGAACCCTATATAGGGTTCGCTCACTTAAGAGAGTGTGGTGCTGACAACACCAGGTCAAGGGTTGAGATCCCCTTACTGGTCATCTTCAAAAAAACAAATATTGTTGATGGTGGTACACAGCATTTATTCATAGATGACCTGGATGAACTGACCTCTGGACACTCTTACTCTTCTAAAGAAAGGCAGCATGAGCATACCGTGCTGCATCCTTCCAGACAGAGGTCATTTCATGCCACCACGCCCTCTCCACGTCCTAGACAGTGCCCGCTCAAGTGTTCTGGTGCCCAGCGGCCCTGCCACCATTGTGGGCAAGCCTACATGCTCAGGGGGCTTTGCAAAATGAAAAAAGATTACTTACTCAGATTACTGAGTAATCCCAGATTACTTCCTGTTAGCTGGCTACTTTGTGTTTGCTTATTTCCTGTAAGCTGAATATCGCAGTGAGAGCTGAGAAGTCCCCTCCTGGGCAGCAGTGACTCTTAGGAAGGACCCAGGATCCTGGAGAGGAGAGGGTAGGGCAGTGCTCTGTCTCTGAAAGCCGCCCTCCAGCTGCCGCATTCAGGGACTTGTAAAGCAGGGCCACGCCTTCTTTGTTTAGCTCCTGCCACTCTTGAGGCTGCTGTGTGTCAGCCTGAAAACTGGATGTCCCTTGGAATTCTTTAAGCACTAATTTTTAATTTTGACTTAATGTAAGTCATGTATCAAATATTAGTTGATCTCTCACAGTTTTTCCTACATAACAAGAGGTGTCGGGTGCTTTTTATATTTAGTCATTAGGATTGTGTTTTGAAGGTATTAGCCCCTTTTCCTAGTTCCTGGAGCCAGGCCCAGGTCTGAGAACCAAAGGAGAGACCCTCACCCTCAGGCACATACACGTTCTGATCACCACCTCACCTGCACCCTCTTGTCCCAGCCCTGGCACATCGCAGGTGCTCAAAATACTTGTGAAATGATTGGCCAGAGGTTTCACAGCTATAAGTGATGGAATACTCTAAAGATCTCCAAATATTAGATTGTCTAAAGACAGATGAACACACCTTGTAAAAATAAGCAAGTCAAGAGCACCTCTGCATTTGGAGGAAGTCTTTGTGTTAATCACATCTATTTTCTGGTAAAGGCAGGTGTTTCCTAAATTAGATTTGAGGTCATGAGTATTGCAGATGGGCAACAAAAGTGTTTAGCACTGGTAGAGAGGACACCAATTGGCATCTGTCCCTACTGTGCCTGCAGTCTCACCTGGCACCGCATGTGCCCTGCCAGCACTCGGACAGCCTTTGGCTGGGGTTTTGCCTCTGTCCATGCCACGAGTTCTAGTTGCAGCTCTTAAGGAGTATGTCCATCTTTCAGTCTCTGAGCTGTGTAGAGTCTGAGACACGGCTTCAGGCCAGGCAAATCCAGGCACTCGGGAGGTGCTCAGAGCCCTGATGTGGAAAACTGTCAGAACCTGGAAGCTAGGGCACCACGCAGCGTTAAGACCCGTTCCTCTTCCACTTAACCTGGTCTGTGGCCTTGTAAATGAAATGCGCAGAGGGCTAACAGTTCTGAATTTGAGAATGAAAATCTTCTAACAATTGTTTTTGTAGAATGAAAACAAAACCATAAATAAAATGATTGCTAAAAAATGATTAAAGAGGCGAAAACAGAGCTGATGAAAGAGAAGGAAAGGAATGATGAAGATAAAGGTGGATTTAATAAGAATGCCTCTTGGGAAGACCCCAAGGGGACTTCTGACATGTGCAGTCTGTTTTTTAAGACTCAATAAACTCATGCTGTATGTGGGGTGTGTGGTGTGTGTGGGGGAGGAGTGTTTGTGTGTGGTGTGTGTGTATGTGGGGGGGTGTGGTGTGTGGAGTGATCTAATAGAAACATGTTAGATTGTTATTGGTCAGCAGCTTGTGCTGTAAGCTCCCTTTGTCTGTTTTCTCTTCTTGTGGCCCAGCAGCCTTCATGTTGGATCACAGGAGGGAAGGCAGGGAGAGGGGTCAGCTTGTAGGAAGACCTGCTTTGGTGATGATGATGATGATGATGATCCTGCATAATCTGATGCTGCTTCTGGGGAAGCTTCCAGAAACTGGGCTGGCTGTGTTGGAGCTCGGTGGGAACGCTGTGGGTATGGTTTCTTAGATTGTGCGTCCAAGGACAGGGTCTGCTTGGTAATGGAGACTTTATTGATTTTATATCTGACACCTAAAAATATTGAATAAAAACAAATAAGCATGTATTTATATATACATGTATATCTGTGTTTTGACTTCGATGGACTTTAAAATAAGCATTTCGAGTGTTTTAAATATTCCTTTAACATTTAAACACTAAGATATTCAAAATGTAAATGAAAGGAATTTGCCTAATGACAACAGTAACTTTCTTGTAAAAGGAAAATTTTCAGTGACTGTCAACTTGTAACCTTGTTCTGCCAAATCAGCTTCATGTGAAGGGGACACCACTTGGAGTCGGCTTTGGAAGGGCAGTCACAGAGCCCTTTCCACAATGCCGAGACCCACAATGTGTTCCTATATATGACCCTGTTACCTGACTTGTCCAGTATTGAAATGTGTTTAAGTATTTTTTTTTTCTGTTGCTGATAAACTGTATATCCAAATATCTAACTCTTGACGTTTTCGATTGCATTTTACGAGTTTCTTGTATAGCCTGACCATATTCAGAGTTGGAGTGGAACTGGAGATCAGCCAGTTACTCATTTAACTCTGTTGCAATTTTGCATTCTTTAGAATCTCTGAACTGCCGTAGGCATTATTTTAGAGAAAGTGAACCCAGTTGGATTAATGTTATTTGGGTAGAATTAATATGTTGAAGATCAATTAGAGTTCCCGATACTATCCCAATGTCTGTCCCAGCCATGGGCTGTGCAGTGTGCCATGTTAGCTGGGACAGGGCCTTTGGCTCAGGTCCAGCAGCTCACCAGGCAGGGGCCACACAGGGCCTGCTTCGGTTCTGGTGTAACTGAACTGAAGCAAGCTACTGGTTACTTAGGAAGTAGACACCCACATTTTACTGGAGGATTGTTACCTCAGTGCACTTGATGAGAAGTTTTACATTTCACTGTATTTCCCCTGTCATTGTTTTTCCTTAATTTATTTGAAAACTATATGGGAAAAATATGCATGTTTGTAAGAATTAATCTACTCTAATAGTGGTAAAAAAAAAAACAAAAAACTGTGGATAAAAGGTCATTGTTTTTGTATTATATCAACTTAGAATTTCTTGCTTTTAGGTGAAATGTTAGAGAATTTTACACTGTCTTGCTGAATATAATTACTGTGTACAGACATAATCTGGGATTTCAAAGCTTGGAATGTTACTTCTACTTGTGTCTTACTGGCCAGTCTTTAAAAGAGAGTTGAACAGTTATGTGTGTTAAAGTAAGAGGTCCTTAAGCAAAGTGGCTGCCAAATGCGAATTATTTCTCAAATGTAATTTGTGAAAGTATTTATCTATGTGGAATAGAGATTAACTATCTAAATTGAATTTTTCCATGTTAAAATAATCAGATAATCACATACTTCTGTGAATTATGCAAAATGTTATTCCTAAAGCTATTAATAGATTTAAAATATTAAAATAAATTTTGTCTAACATTCTTGATTTATACATATTAGTTATATGGGAAAGTCAAGTCATGATTTGAGAAGAAATTTATTTGTGGCCTAAGTGAAAATCTGAATAAGCCGTTAACTGCACAGAGTAGAGGGTCATACAAGGTACTTTACACATGAGACTTCATGACTGGTGGCTTGCTGATGAGAGAATGTACTGTTACCTGCCGGGCCACGTCTTCAGACTCTAATTCTAGGGCAGTCTGTGTTTGTTAAGGCTGAAAGTAGATGATCCGGTGCATGAATGTGTCTTCTCCGGTTTTTCTTCTCTGTAGTCTCACCAGTGATCATTAAAGAATGGGCAGCTTACAAAGGGAAGTCTCCTCAAACCCCAGAACTGGTGGAAGCTCTTGCCTTCAGGGAGTGGACCTGCCCTAACCTGAAGCGGCTGTGGCTGGGCAAGGCAGTGGAGGACAAGAACCGCAGGATGAGGGCCTTCCTGGCCTGCATGAGGTCGGACACCCCAGCCATGCTCAACCCTGCCAGCGTGCCCACTCACCTCATGGTGCTCTGCTGCGTCTTACGGTGGGTGCTGGGGGTGCGGGCAGGGGTGGGGGCTGTGACCATGGGATCCAACGAGTTCTAGAAAGGATGTCAGGTGTATTCCAGATGAAGCCTGTTTTCTGACATTTGTCCTGATCCCATATTTACATATATTATAGAAATGTGGGCCATGTAAGTGCAATATATGTTTTAATTTTACTATGTGGTATATTTATATAATAGGTATGTTTGGAAAACATGTAGTATGTAAATGTCGTATAACTTTAAACATGGTTTATTCTTTAAATATTGAAGATTTTGTAGGCTATAAGGAGGGATTATATTATGTATTATTTGGAATTCTTCTATAGGGAAAATTAGTTTCTTCTTCCCCTTTCATTTATTTAGTCATTTATTTATATCAGTTTGGACCTGTGTACTCATTTTATAGGGTTAAAATCAGTTCATTTTGGGTTGTCTCCAGTACTGTTACTTATCTTGCTGCCTGCGTTGTCCTGGCTCTGGCTTTGGGAGCTCTCTGGGGTTGGCCCTGTGACACTACCATCCCTTCGTTTTGGGAGCACGTCCTGGCTTCTGGCCCTACAGGGTGCCTCTGACGTGTCTTATGCCCCCCTGCTCTAGCATCAGCCCTGGTCCGTTGTCATGGGGAAGAATGTCTGGAAGCCCTGATCTGGGTGCCGGTGGCTCCTGCTGCGGGAGTCGCCATGTTTGGGCCCTTGCAGCTGACAGCAGCAGGTGCATGTGTAGACACTGTTGACATTTTAACGTTAATTGGAGTTGGGATGCATACTGGACGTTCATTAGGTTTTGGGGGTTGGTTTTGTTTTGTTTTGAAACAATTTCAAATGTAGTGAAAAATTACAAGTATAATACAAAATGCTTTTTTTACTCAAATACCTTAGTGTGATTTCCTAACAAACGACATTTTCCTATGTTCATATAACCATCAGAGAGCCATCAAAATCGACCCACATTGATTCTTCAGTCCATCCTATCCTCAGGGCTTATTTTTCCAATGGTCCCAGCAGGGTCCTTTATCACCAGGAACCCATTCCCAGTCCTCTCTGCTCTCAGTGGGGTGCCTGTCTGGGGGCTCATGGTTCTGTCCCTCCTATTACACAGGCTGCTCACCCTGAGGGCTAAGTGTAGGAGGTGGCTGTGGCTTCTTCATGAGAGACATTCTGCAGACTGCTCTCCTCAGATGGTCGGCATGCTGTATCAGCGTGGAGCCACAGCTTCCCATGTCTCCAGGGATTTTGGTCCGTTGCACTGTTACTCATTTTGATTTTGATGCTGCCCTGCTCACTTTGTCAGCTGGCCTTTGTGGTCTCTCCACTGGCCTTGTTGTTCTCTGTGCTCCTCTTTACTTCTCTGCCGATGTTCTGCCTTCCCTCGCATCTCCCGGGCCTCAGCCTGGGATCCCCACTTCTCCAAGCAGCCCAGCTCATCCACATGGAGATGGCAGTTAGAAACCAGGCTTTCCCCATCACTGGCTTCACTGCCCCAGCCCTCCAGTGCTTTTGTGGATCCACCCCAAGGCAGCTGCCTATGTATTGCTGTTTCTCACGGAAAACAGAATTCTCCCCAGTCCCTCAATCTGGTACTGTCAGTGTCCCCTCTCCACATATGTAAGACATGGTCTAGCAGAGCACTTGACTGTCCTCCACATGCCTGACCCCAGGGGCCCGGAATGCGGACACAGTGTGCTGGGCGCCCCTGGATGTCACATGGCCCTGTGGTATCGGGAGAGGACAAGCTGCTGTTGCATTGGTGGAGGGTGACGTCCACAGTCTTCCATCTTTGTTTTTTAGCTCATGCTCCTTGGTGTCGTGGTACAGGGTAGTGTCACTGTTTAGTCCTGTCTGTCATTCATTCAGCCTCTTGTTTGGCTGGTGCCTCGTGGAGGCCTTACTCTGTGCTGGACACATGGGGAGGAGATCAACTGTCTTTGTAGCTCCACCTCACACCTCCTTTCTCCTGTGTACTTGTCTTGGTGCTTGCATGGATCTCTGCCAGCTGTAGTGTGAGCCCTGCCTCAGCAGTGATCCCAGAAGCAAGTTTGCAGCCTCTTCAGCACTATTCAGATGGCCACAGGCGAGACACAAGTGAATGAGTGTGGCCGTACTCCAGGAAAATTTTATTGACAGACACAGTGACCAGCTCATGGTGTAGTTTTTCAGTTCCTTTGTAGACTGCTCTCAATTTAGATTTGACAGATATTTCTTGATGATTAGATTCAGTTCTTGCATTAGAGGCAGTACGCTGAAGAAGGGGTGCGGTGGGCTTCTACTCACACTCTAAGGCAGCTTTTGCTTTTGGTAGTGATGTTAACATTTATCGCTCAGTTAAGGTAGTGTTGGGCATACATATATTTTAAATGTGACATTATGGCAGCAGTTGGGAGGGATGGGGAGAATATCAGTCAAATCTCTAGAATCCTCCAAAGCAGAGACAAGGGAGGTGGTGTCTGAGCAGAGGGTGGTGCAACGTGAGGGTGAAGGCTGAGGGCTTTGATGGGATAAAATGTGGACAAGGTGACGAGGCCCTTATCCAAGGGCAGCTTACATTCTCATGAAGAGACAAGACATCAGACAAATACGTGCAGACTGGGTTAAATCCTGGAAGAGCTTAAATCAGTTAACAGAATAATGGGTGGAAGGCATGAGACCCTGAAGTGCGTTTGCTCAGAGACCCTGCAGATCCTGCCCAGTGCGTTCCGAGAGGTCGTCGACTGCGCCCTGTTGGAGCTCTGGCTCTCCCCACTCCTGTGCTTGCAAAGGGCAGTGAGAGGTTACCCTGCCGTGGTAAGAAAACGAAGGCCAGGAAGGTTAAATGACTCTCCCGAGGCCCTATAGCTGCTTGGCACATCAAATAACATTTGTATATTATACTCAATTGTGTGGAAAACCACATCTAGAGAAAAGATTTCCAGAAATTTCATAGGTAGATTTAGCCATGTGAGAGAGATCTGAAAATATCCTAAATGTACAGATAGGAATGACCTGAATACAAGAGATGACTCTGAATAAGGCATCAGCCACTCTTTACTGTGACGCCATTCTTGCTGTCCGTGTGGTTTGGTATTTAATCTGTGTATTTACACACATATGCACTTCATACTCAGTATCCAGGCAGGCATTCAGAGGACCTATGATGAGAAGGAACTAAATGTTATCTTTGTTATAGAAAGCTGGATAGAGGAAAAAGTGGGTATTCTGACCAACAAGGCTATTTGTTATAGCAGCTAAATTGAGTTCTGAGCATCTTAGCTGTCAGGAAAAAATAAGAAAGATCTTGGGAAAAACCAACCGATCCCCAAGAAGGAACCTATAGCCAGAGGGTCGGGGAGGGGGGACTGAGGAGTCATTTAATGGGGACAGAGTTTCAGGTGGGGAAGGTGAAAGGAGTTGTGTGGATGGATGGTGGCAGTGGTTGCACCGCACTGTGAGTGAGCTTAGTGCCACTGAACCGTACACTTAAGAATGGTTAATGTGATAGATTTTATGTTACGTGTATTTTGCTGATTTAAAAAAAATTAAAATAAAAGGAACATAAAACATGGATGCTTAAAAGCAAAGAACACTGTATATGGAGCACAGTCTTTCTTCCACAACGATTTTTTTCAGACACAAGTGGGAGCTTTCTTCATATTTGCTGTTTCTTGCATCAAGCCCTGACTAAAATTCAGTAAGACAATTGTATTTAAGACTTGTGGCACTCAATTAATTGCAAAGAATGTAATTTTTGTTACTGCATATATTGACAGTTTAATTACATGAAACTTTATATCACTTTTTAAAATATATTTGATCAAATACAGATACCACAGAAATGTAATATTCACTGTTCATTCACAGTGAAATTGCATTTCATTCCTACTTTTGCCACATAATTTTACCATGAAGTGTATATGCTTTCTGTGCCTCAGTTTCCCTATCTCTAAAATGTGATAATTGTTCCTGCCTCAATTGCCATGATAATTGGTGAGTTGACTGATACCTGGCAGCTAATGAGCACGTAAAATTTCCAGTTTGGAATTTAATTGAAAATATATCTCTTAATGAGCTCCTCCCCCTTGGTTTATATTCTTGTGGATGAATATTAATAAGTATAGGAGTGAGTTCAGAGCAGCACCATATCTGAGCCTTGTTTTTAACTTAGATTTTAAACACTAAGAACACTTACTCAGCATATGAAAATGGAAAGAACTTTATTAAGCATGTCACAGTTCTCTGAACTACTTTTGAGTTATTTGTGAGAGATCACCTAGTAATATATCATTGTAAGTTATTTTTAGTGATCAGCTGGCAACTTGATTTGGTCATCCTTCAAGTTTGTCAAATGCATAGAATTGAGAACCTTTGAACTTGCAGAAAGGTTTATGACTTAGTTGTTATGGCAGTCTGTTCACTTTCTACTTGGTGCTGTGCCTTTGTGCATCCTGGGAGTTTTTTTTTTTTTTTTTCCTTTTTGTCTTTTTTCGTGACATCCTGGGAGTTTGTCACCAGGTGGTGCTGGTGCAGGGCAGGGAGAGTTGCAGCATGGAGCTGGGGGCTGTCGGGCAGACTGCTGTGGTTGAAGTTGAAGGTTTGGAAACAGATTTCCCTTCAGCTACCACACCAGGGTGCACCTGTTCTGAAGGTTGTGGTTGTCCTGTGTGTTGCTTTTCTTGAGTAGGTCTCTGCCCCCCATCGCCGTTCAGTTCTGCACCATCCCCATTTGTTCACCTGCCACTGTGGAGCCTTCAGCTGCAGAGGTTCATGTAACACGTGCTGCTCTTTATCATGAGATTAACCTTTCTTTTTTGGACCTGGGGTCTACCTCCTGGGTGTCCTGGGTTGAATTAAAATGAATAGATCGTGTAAATTGGTGCTTATAGTGTACTTCCGGGGTTTAAATTTTTCACAAGAGTGAAGTTGTGTCAAAAACCACTGACCAGCTAGTTTGCAGTATGCGTGATTTAGTGTGCTATTTTTAATTACTCTAAAGTAAAACGTTCTGATCTCTCTGGATGATGACTGTGCTTTCATTTATAATTGGCATCATCAGTGAAAATAGAAAAGCTGGATGAGAAGTCCTTATGGGCCTTGCTGGCTCACAGCACCCTGCATTTACTTAGAACCCCCTGCTAGGTTTGTCCATGTAATTAATGGGTGATCACTCAGTAGTCATGCCTCACCATTTCTGTCTCTCCTTAGGTATATGGTGCAGTGGCCAGGAGCACGCATACTGCGTCGTCAAGAGCTGGATGCCTTCCTGGCTCAGGCGCTGTCTCCCAAGCTCTATGAGCCGGATCAGCTACAGGAGCTCAAGGTAATCTATCAGCCGCATTTCATGGTCTTGGGAAGCCTTGCTTTGGATTTCAGTGTAACACAGCTTCACCAGGCAGAACTAACTGCTCAGAGCACTAAACTGATATTACTAATATGATGTGAACTTGATCGCCTTCAGGGCAAAGGGAATATTTCTTTCTAGTTATGGATTTGCCATTCCCAGTTTAGAAATGATCGATTTCACTTATGTCAGAGAAAGATTTTCCCTTGTTTACCAATGGATGTTTATTCTTGTTTTTCACATCAGGAAATAAACTTGCCTTTTTTATTTTAGGAGAGGATTCCAAACCCTGGGAGGGCTTGATCTTAAGAATTTTCTAACATCTAGGCAGAATTCTTTTTCTTATTTCATTCCATTGTTCCTAATTACAACTTTAGTTTTCTCTAAAAAATATTCTTTGCCCTTCTAGTATTATAAAATCCCTTTTAAAAGACCACTTGAAGAACCGTGTCACAACATCACCCCTATGTCCTTTTTAGTCAGTATTTACATCACATTCCTTTTAATTTTGCCTTCTAGTAATTTTTTTTGTTCTGTAATTGTTTTGACAATATTGATTTTCTCCAAGTTGACACCTAATTTTTTAGCGTGCACATCTTTTTCAGTACACTTTTATTAGTTGCTGTTTTCATAATGGTTGTAATTGCTTTCTAATTTTCATACCAAATTTTAGGAAGTTCAAGAGTTTTCAAAGTTAGCTCAATTGACAGATCTGCCTTTTTTTTTTAATGTACAGGGTTTTGTTTTTTCTTTGCCATCAGTTTTTTTTTCAAACAGAGTTTGATTTGTAATCAGTTAATGTCTTTTGACAAAATTGCCTTCACTTTTAAATCTTTTTGCCATTCTTTGTGAAGGCATTCTTTCCCTGATGAGGAATTTTAGGCTCGCTTTATAGATTTTCAGTATATGACTGTTGGTGCTCAATAAATTTCTGGTTTTCCCTAAATTATTGTATTAAATTGAATAATTTGGTGTTGACTGAACCTCCTCGACCATGTGGAGCTCACTTGAGACTTCTGATGACTTTGAAACAAGCTAAGTAAAATAACCAGACCTTAAGAGAATTCACCTCAAATTGTGTTCTTTATAGATCAAGCTTTTCTGTTTGTTAGGCACAAGTTATTATTACTTTTAATGTTTTTGAATTTACATTTCTGTTTTCAATGTTTGGTCAAGTGTCCCGTCAGGCAGTGTGGCTGGTGCTAAGTCAGGTCCTTCCCTGTGCCCTCACCTGGTTTGTCTCATCACCGTCTTCGTTACAGACTGTGCTTCAGGGGGTTGGAAGTACTTTCACTAGAGTGTGGCGCCAGCCCTCTACCTCTACTCCTGTTTCTCTTATATAGATTATTCCATCAGTATTGACATCCCAGTTCTGAAAATCACACCGCCAGGTATCAGGTATGCCCACTAAGCCTTATTCACCATCAAGTTACTTTTACTCAAAGTTCATCTTATGTCCCCATATCCTTTTCATTTTTGGATCAACACATAGGATATAACTTTTGAAAAACAATCCACTCTAAGCTTTCGTTTTGGTTCTTTTGAGGTCTTAGTGCTTTCATGGTTTTCTCCTGATTCTTCATCTAAAGCAAGACAATTCTAGAGATGTATTCAGAAAGACATATTTTATGTGTAGTTAACTTCAGTCTCACTCATCGTTCCTCTGGGTCTTGCTTGTCTGGAGGTCGACGGTTCCCTTTAATAAGGACAGCCTACACCTGTAAGTGCTTCATTTTCATGATTAGTATAAATTGTGAAAGAACTTTGGAAAAATAACATTTGTTGGGGGGAAGGCAGTTTTGTTTTTGTGTGTGTGTGTGTGCGTGGGCATGTGCGTGTGTGTGTGTGTGTTTATTTTTTTAATTGAAGATCCTCTCTGCTATCAGATTGAGAATTGATAGTAATAATCATTATTTAAATGCTACAATTCCTATGCAGAGCTGAGGGTTCCAAAATTCAGTGACAGAAAATTAAATTTTAAAATTGCTTTTTCCTTTAGCCATTAAAGTTTTTTGACATATCAAAAGCGACAGCAGTGCTTTTCTGTAATACTCCATTTCACTGTTCGTGCTGTAGTCAACTCTTGACTGTTAGGGCTGCTGTGTCAGGCCCTTTACCCAGTTTGTGGATTGCCCAGACTCTACTTTTCTTCTGCCATTTATTGTCCACTGTGCATCTTGCCGTCAGAAGAGGAAAAGAAGAAGACTCAGTTCTGACGGTCTGGACTCATGTTAGCTTTCTGATGGGAGGCTTGGTGGGAAAAGACATTGGAACCATGAGCTAAAATGAGTTTTTAAGAACTTCATCTCATCCACGCTTTCTCTGTGCACCATGTCCATGAATAAGTGAGAGTGTTCTGCGTGGTTCCTTGAATGCCTGTGATGCTGATTGATGGCTCTCATTTTTTTCCTGTTATATTTTTTAAGCCCTTCTCCCAAGTTAGCAGTGACACTGTGTTTAGAGGAGGGTGGGTAACGGGTGAGGAGAAGGCACTTTGTACAGATGTGATATTTATCCAGCTTCCTTCTCTCTTACTCTTGACATTCCTATAATTGCCTTAAATTCTTTTAACAGTTTCACATGACAAGTGCAGAATATAAAAGATGGAAAATGAAGAGCTTTAAAGACAGTATTAGGGGTGTGCAACATGTCTGTGATACTAGTAAGAATTATTTTGCATATAGGTAAATATGACAAATTAAAGTAAGAGTCTGTCGCCTAGTAATTAGAAGTTGGACAAAGTAACTTTACTGAAATTTGATTCTTAAGCTAATTAGGTAGAAATTAAATTTCATATTTATATTTCCTGTAAAGTCAGAGTTTTTTGTCTGTGTTTCTCTAGTTGAGAGACTTTGGATAATGTTGATATTTTATCTCAATTGGTATAAGAGCACGAGGTTAGAATGTGACTTGCAGCCATTTCTGCAGTCACATCAGAATGCCTGTGTCCTGCAGTTGTGGAGAGATGGGAATGGGCCAATACGTGTAAAAAAGGCAGTGCCTGATACACATTTTTTTATGTCCCCCATATATTACATATTATTTTTATATAATTAACATTTAGGGAAAGAAAGAAAACACTTTGTATAATAAGTTTTTAAAAATTTTTGAAGGAAGCAAAATCTATACAATGTTAGGGATTTTATTCACAATGTTTGTATAGCTTTTATTTTTGAGAACTTTTAAATTAATGGTGTTTGTCATTACTAAAACTGCTAATTATCTTAAAACTGTAAACAATCATTTTTAAATTCCATAAAAATACAGTTCCTCTACTAATGTTGAAGCTATTTTATATATATGAGGGTACTTCATGGAAAAGTAGAGTTAAAAGATAATACGAATCTTTCCATGAACTTTTTGAAGACCCCTTGTATATGAATGTCAGCAGATTTGGAGATGAATGGTTCTAACTCGGGTGCTTTTGTGTGGCACACATCTCCTGTTGTTTCCGCATGCCACTAGCTGCCTGCTGGGAGAGTGATTTTGAGTTACGTTAGTTAATAAGGGTTTGACTCTGGAAATAGCAGGGTTGTGCTTCACGTACTTACACAGAAGGGCATTGGTGGCATTTTGTGTATGACATTTGGATAGCAAGGCAGACATTTTTAGAGCAACGTCAGCTCCATCATTTCCTCTCCCTAATCTTTGACCAGGGTCCTTCATTCTCTGGCACAGGGCAGACAGCGGGGTGCAGGCCCCCGGGCTGGAAATGGTGGAGTCTCACCCGGCTGGAAGAGATTTGTGGTCATCCGCAGAGCAAGGGGCCAGGGCCGGGGGTCCTGTGGCAGCCATGTTTATTCACAGGCCTACACATTTGCTTTGCCACTTTCCAACAGGGTCAGCTCCCTCTTTCTGCCTTGAGAATTCTTTGTTCCTGAAGCTCAGAGACGGGCTGCTGGGGTCTAAATAAATCAAGTGTTTTTCTCCACTTTGTTCCAGTTTGACCTTCTCTTTGCATATAATATAAAAATGCATCTAATTCCATGATCCCAGCCCCGCCTGCCCTCAACTGAACATTTTTTAGTTCACTTCTAGACAGCTACACAGGAAAGGTAGGAGCCAGTGGTACACAGTGGGATCCAGAGGTGTAAACAAACAGCTTTTATAAATGTGAACAAACTTCTCCAGGTTTTGAAAGTTTAACTGCATTGACTTAAAATTTATAAAAAGGTTGGACTGTTAGTTGGTAATGGGGAATGTTGATAGAAACAGCACAAAACAGCAGATAATCATAAACTCATTAGCATTTGGCACCTGGGTGATCTCTTTTCTCTTTAGTGAAAAGTTGTTTGACTTGTCACAGTTAGACATTGCTTAGATTGATATACTCCACAAAGACTGTACTTGAGAAGCAATCAACATCTGAAGACAAAAACCAGAGCAGAGTTAAAACTTTGTCTTGGATAATCCACAAACTAGGTCTTTCACATACCAACAGTCAAGAGTTGACTGTACTTGTGCTAGCATTTGTCACCTTGCTCCTCATATGCTAGAAGAGGGGGCTCTGTGCAGAAGGCCGTACCTGGTACTCATCATGAGGGAAAGAAAAGTCTGTGCCAGATCCAATAGCATGCATGGTTCAGATACAGTGTTTTCATTGTGTTCTTTCATTAATAAGCTATCCATTTCTCCTAAAACATTTTGACAATCTCATTAATAAGTTGCTTTCTAAAATATTAGCCTTCAAAATAGTGTAAACATAAAGCACAGACTTATTTGAGATGAAACTATACCAAGTAATTTATTAATATAACTACTTGAAAAATGCAAAATCTTAATAGAGATTTTTGACACTGTTTCTGTTAATACATTACACACGCTCAGGTCTAAAGTGTGAAGTGTTATTTTGTGGCGGGGTTGTGGGCTCTGGACTGCTAAGGGAACTGTCGTAGGTCACGTATCACCCTACAGTACTGTATTATTCCGCATAGTGTAACGCTTTACAAGTCCCAAACAGAAATATTTCAGTAAGTTTATAAAGCATTCTCTTAAATTTAAATTTGTTAAATAACGTAAAAAGCATTTCTGTTCAAATAAGGCCAGTGCTAGGTCAATATGAGGTAATGGTAGGACCACTTAGTGGTGGTGTTTTGTTGAGGAATATTATCTGCTAACTTTGGAGAGTTTTAGTGAGACATTGGAAGAAATAAATACTGTAGTGCTCCTATTCCATAGAAATTACTCTTTTCAATTTAAAGATTGAGAACCTAGACCCCCGAGGAATTCAGCTGTCAGCTCTCTTCATGAGTGGAGTAGACATGGCACTGTTTGCAAATGATGCGTGTGGACAGCCAATCCCCTGGGAACACTGCTGTCCCTGGATGTATTTTGATGGGAAGCTCTTCCAATCCAAACTCCTCAAAGCCAGCCGGGAGAAGACCCCACTCATCGACCTCTGTGATGGTCAGGTATGTTAGGGGGCAGGGTGGCCTCCTCTAACTGTAATGAAATGAAGCTTGCTGACTAAATCCATTGTCTTTTATACCATATAGGTCATGAAACCTGTGCCATGAAACAGGACTCAGTTTTAGGCTGGGCCAGCCCAGTGTGTAACTAAATTTGCATCAGGGCCCATGATGAGCCAGGCTCTGGACATACAGTTGATTCTCATTATTTGTGGTAGTTATATTCTAAAAATTGCTTGAACGCTGACTTACAGAATACTGGACCATTACTCCTAAGGAAGTACAGGGTTAGGTTCCTGTGAGGCTCCAGTCACACATTTTCTTCAGCCAATCTGTGCATAACCTTGTTTTATATGTTTTTCTGTTCAGAGACACCTTGTTTAACATATATTGTTGATTTATTATTGTTGAATTCAGGGCCAACAGTACCATAACTCACAGCTAAATGAAGCTTCTCTAACACACTTATTTCCTTCATGAGGCACATCACAGCCTCTTTGTACACTTCACAGTACTGGACAGCAGTTTAGCACTACACTTGGGGACCATTTTAAACAGTGAAATCACCAACAAAAGGCACAGCACAAAAATGAGAAAAATATGGCACTAAATGGGACGTGAAAAGGACACTGGTTCCAACCTGAGCTGAAACAAGAAGGCCCGTGTTGTTTTGTGTTGTGTGACTGCAGCTGGGCCTGTGTCGGGCCGCTCTGCACACGTCTGCAAACACCCGGGAAAGTGCCGTGAGTGCTGATTTTTTTTTTTTTTTTTGTCTTTTTTCGTGTCCGGCAACGGATCGCAACCCTCAGTGTCGCGCCCGTACCGGACCGGGACCAGCAACGGGATCGCAACCCTTGGTGTTGCGCCCGCACCTCGCTCAGCCAGTGAGCGGGAACCGGTCTGTATGTGGGATCCGAACCCTCGGCGGGAGCGCCGCCACACTCCCAAGCAGCACACTATAGCAGTGCGCCACCGGGCCGGCCCGTGAGTGTTGATTTTGGGGTTACAAATAAATGTTAACAGGTAGGCGAATTTGCAGATAAAGAATTCATGAATAAGGAGGACCAACTGCACATTTTTACAGCAGTCGATAACATCTTATTTCTTTATTACTCATTCAAATGCAGTTAAAACGCCGTGAGTGCTCACATCTAGGTCCTTGACTTGCAGGCTGAGCAGGCTGCCAAGGTGGAGAAGATGCGGCAGAGCGTCCTGGAGGGGCTCAACTTCTCGCGGCAGAGCCACCCACTTCCGTTCCCGCCGCCCCCCACCCTGCCCTTCTACCCGCCCTCCGTGTACCCACGCCACTTCGGGGCTGTCCCACCATCCCAGGGCAGGGGCAGAGGCTTTGCAGGTGCGTCGCTGTTGTGACTTGTTCCTGTGGGAAAAGAGAGGCTTAAAATGAGCATGTGGTCCTTGTAGTTGAGCCCTGTCTGGCTGTGTTGAGACCTTGTATTTGTCGGTCTTAGGACCAGTGACTCCTAGTTAGCGAGCGTGAGCTTGAGCCCTCCTGGAGGAGACTAGGAGAGGAAGAAAGGGAGCTCTGAGCACTGGCGCAGAGGCCGCCCTGTAGAATCTGTCAGTACAGCTGGAAACATTCTGCTCCCAGTCTTCATGATGTTTTTTCCTCATGTGTGAGAGAAAATAAATCCATCCAGGTCAGAGCCACCTCTAGTGCCTATCTGCCAGAGCCTGTTTCCCAGGGCCCGTTCTCCACGGCCCGTCGTGAGCCCCCAATGTCAGTGCCCTGTTGAAGGACCTGCTACAGGGAGGGTGGATGCCGGGTGCAGGACAGCAAGATGACAAGGGGGGTCAGGAGACCCGAACACCCAGCAGGTCCCCCCAAACTCTGTCCCTCATGCTTCTCCCTCTCTCTCTCTACCCCGGATCCTACAGGAGTCTGTGGCTTTGGAGGCCCCTATGGGGAACCGGTAGCAACAGGCCCTTACCGTGCCTTCCGGGTGGCGGCAGCATCGGGACACTGCGGAGCCTTCTCAGGCAGTGACAGCAGCAGGACTAGCAAGTCCCAGGGCGGTAATTACACCCACACCCTCCCCAGAGCTTCTGCCTGCCAGCACTTACTCTGCTCCATCTACCAGCGCCTGCCTTCCTTTACTGTCCTTACCAGCACCTCCTCCAACAGAATGCCCTTTCTTCTGGGCCCCGAGCCGACCTCCACTGACTGCTCCTCCCTGAGACCCTGCTCTCAGGTCTCTGCAGCGGCTGTGCTGTGGTCAGTCTCTCCTCTCAGAGTAGACCAGTAAATGTCCACCTAGAACAGAGCTCTCCTGTGCACCCGGGTGAACTGCCCGTCATCTTGTGTTCATAGGACGAGCTGCTGACTGGTACTCAGTGGTGTTTCTTTCCCAAGCAATCATCTTCTGGTAAAGATTATCATACTTTTATAGAAGACTAATAGCCAGAGAATTCCTGGCATAAAATGTCACACTTTGTTCCATAGAAATGTTTTTAAAGAAAGTTTTAATGTCAGATATATAAATAAGTTAGTCTATTTTAAATTCCCATTGTTTCACTTTTCATTTGTATTAGGCTTGCAAAGGAGAAAAAAGTCTTAACTTTTAGCTTTGGAAATAATGTGATGTTACTGTAATTTGAAGCCTGTGACTTAAACCTTTATCGTAATCTCACGTTTTGGGACTTAACGATTTAAATCTGGCCGTCCATTCACATTACAGGATTGTTCAGATAGATTTCAGAGTAACTGTTAGGATAGGCAAGCCTTCCTGTCTCGATCAGCAGTGTTTCTCTAACTCAGTTTCCGGGGGACTTGTAGGGACCAGGTGTAAGGAGCCTTGTAGGCGTGGCCATGGGTTGGGCCCTGCTGCAGCCATGGTCGCCCCTCCTTCCCTGGTGCAGCTGCATGCGTGTTCCCCGCCCTCTGTGTCCCCCCACCCCACCCCCTGCAGGGCTCCTCCACCCATAGCAGCTTGCAGTCATGTGTCCTTTCTGCTGCTTGATCTGCTTCAGAACCTTGTACCTTGGAACTGAAGCTGGTTTGTATTTGGGATGAAAGACTGAGGGAGAGGGGAGATTTCACTGTGGGTAGTGTGCGGGAAGTGATTTCTTAGACTGAGATGACAAGAGGACCTTGCTTCCTAACTTTCCTAAAATTATATCTTAAACTCAGATCTGCACTGTCCAGTATAGTAGCCACTGGCCACATGCACCATTGAGTGCCTTTGGCTGTGGCTAGTAAGTACAAAATATATACCAGATTTTAAAGACTTACTATGGGAAAGAAAAAGAATATAAAATTGCTCATTAGTTTTTTTTATCTTGATTAGATGTTGAAATATTATTATTTTGGATATATTGGGTTAAATAAAGTATATTACTAAAACACTTATTTCATCTGTTTCTTTGTACTTTTTTCATGTGGCTACTAGAAAACATGAGGCTTGTCTTAGATTTCTGTTGGACAGTGCGGACATAGCTGCTGCAGAGGCCGTTGCTACAGCTAACACCAGGATGCTGGAGAATTTGTTATGATCCATTCCCTGTGCCAGAAGTTTTGCTGTCAGTTAAAATTTGAGAATTTTCTTGGGTCAGAAAATCTTAGTATATGCAGGCTACCAGTAATTAATAGAAATTCGTGAATACAATGAATATTTGTGACTCTGCTTAAGGAAATTCTAACTTAACAATACAGTAAGAAATACAGACTAGATTTATTGATTATCTCCTACAATGTTTGGCTAAGGTAGTAAACTTGGAATATTTACCTAAAAAGAAAAACATTCTGAGTTTGCAGATTTTCATCCTGGTAATGGACAAGGCATGCCGTATGCATCCAGTGACAATACTTTATTGGATCTATTTCTATCTAAAAAGTCTTGTACATTTGCAGTTGTAACCTAACTCAGTTGTCATGGGTTCTTAATAATAGTTTAAAACCAAACTATGTGCACATAGGTACCACATCATAAAAAAGCAGTCTTTGCAAAGTGGGGTAAAGCGGCTACATGCTAAATAAACCAAAACCGAAAAGAAGTTTCTTGCTTGTTTCTCTTTGCTGTCCTTAATTATGTGATCGTAAAGATTTTGTCTTTTTGTGTATTTTTTGTGCAGGAGTCCAACCTATACCTTCTCAGGGAGGGAAGCTAGAAATCGCTGGTACTGTGGTTGGCCATTGGGCTGGGAGCAGGCGGGGCCGTGGGGCCCGAGGGCCTTTCCCCTTGCAGGTGGTTTCTGTTGGAGGACCAGCAAGAGGGTGAGTTCTGTGCCATGAAAGAACAGCATCTCAATTGCTTCTTTACGTATGAGTTTAGTAAGGACGGTTTTTAATATCATTAGATACATTCTTCTTTAACCTCATTGTTAATGGTTGCATAGGATCCAACTATATAGCATTATGTAATTATTTAGTTAACCATTATTAAGTAATTAGCCATACATTATTTAATTGACCAGGTGCCTTTTTAAATTATTTTTTTAAACTAACATTTTTATTATTTATTTATTTTATTTTATTTATTTATTTTATTTGAGACTGGCCGCACCGCGCTCAGCCAGTGAGCGCACCGGCCATCCCTATATAGGATCCGAACCCGCGGTGGGAGCGCTATGTCCCGAGTGCGCCACGGGCTCAGCCCTAAACTAGCATTTTTAAAGTTTGTTTTTTTCCCT